AGTCAGTTCTCTCCTTCCATTATGTGGGTTTCAGGGATCAAACTCAGGTCAGCAGACTCAGCAGGAGGGACATCCACCTACTGAGTCATCTCACTGGCCCTGATTTCATTCTTAAAAATATTTACCTATTTTTTAAATATGTAAATCTGTATGGGGGGCAGGGTACTGTGTGCTGTGTGTGCAGGCTGAAAGAGGGCTTTGAGCACTCTCCTCCATCACTCTCCATTCCTTTGATGCAGTGTCTCACCCTAAACCTGGGACTCATGCTTTCTTGCCTAGTTGAAAGCCAGCAAGCCCCAGCAATCCTCCTCTTTGTTCTCTCCTTGAAGCTGGAGTTACAGGCATGTGCAAAATGCCTGGCTTGTTTCATGGCTAAATCATCTCTCCAGCCCCTATTTTAATTTTTTTTTAAATAAAGAACACTTAAAAAATAATAACCTTCTTAGTCCTGAGACTCAGGACATACCAGGGCCATTCAAGCAGAACACATTGTAAATTCCAACACCACCCACATCCCACTCAGGGAGGCTATGCTTTTGTGCATTGTGCTTTTTGTGCCCAACCACAAGATCTTGGCAGTATGTCCCCTGTGGCAGCATCCCAGGCAGTTCCAGTTAAAAGACAATCGAACTTCCTGCTTTCTTGGTGCTTGCTTCCTGCCCATTTCCCGAGTCTGATCCTGCATTCTTCTGGCATTTCCTGATAGCCTTCCAATAAGTTCTTTTGGTACTTAAGACAACCATGTACACAAATTGAAACAATCTAGAAACCTGTGTAATGAGAAAACTCTACTTTTCCACTCTCCCCAGGAAGCCCCAGGTAAGTTCTCCTATAGATCACCAATAATACCGTTATCACCAACCTTAAAGATACTTTCTCTATCTAATATCTACCTAGCACCCTCTTGGCTCCTTATCTTCATGACTAGGACTCCTACTCTTCCTCTGTTAGAGTCTCTTCCACTGTTCATCCTGTAAATATGCTCAACCTTTGGCTCCAACCTCCTGCTTCTGCCTTTCTCTTCACTCAGCAATACTTCCTACACACCCTAGCTATACCTCAGGTGATCTTAGATCTTGCCTTGTACTGAACTGTACTCTTCTTCCCTGCTAAAAATCTCCATCAACAGATCCTAGAGAACCTAAACCCAGCATACCACCAAGGAGCTGATCTCCTGCCTGCTTTTCATTCTTTTGCCTCCCCTAATCAGCTGGGCTGAGCCTGCCCAGCAACTCTTATGGCCAGAACATCCCACTTAGTCAGTCTATCCAAGCACTGAGACTGTATGTAGCCCAGTGGTAGAGCATTTGCCTAATATACACATCCAATCCCTAGCACCACAAACTAATTTATTTTTAATCTTAAACCAAGAAGATGGCTTGGCAGGCAAAGGTGCTTGCTTGACCATCCTAGTGACCTGAGTTCAATCCCTGACACCCATGCAGTAGAAGAACTGACTCTTGAAAGTTGTCCTCTGACCTAGGTAGATCCACCTGCCCCTGCCTCTGGAATGCTGGCATTAAAGCCATGAGCCACCTCATGCAGCTCCTTTTCCCATCTTTGATGCTTAGTCTTATACAACTTGGCATTCCCAGGCAGTCTCCTAGCTAAATACTAACCAGACCAGACCATGCTTGGCTTTGCATATGCCAGGGTCCAGAACTTGCAGATACCAGGGCTGGGGAGTGAGTTCCCACTTATATTCCCACAACACAAAGGTCTAGAGGCAGACTGTTGCCATGACCCTGCCAGACAAACTCAGTTTCTGAGGCTTCCCTGCATCATGGTACCTGTAAGGAACAAAACTAGGTCTCATCTTGTTTTGCTTAATATCTATTATCTATTGTTTGAATTTTTATTATTTTTTTTGTGTGTGATGCTTTGAGTGCTATGCGCCACATGTGTGGCTGCTGCCTCTGAAAGCAGGAAGAGGCATTGGATCTCCTGAAACTAGAATTACTGATGATTATTAGCTGCCCTGTGGATGCTGGGAATCAAACCTGGTCAGTTAAAAGCTCGTGCTTTTAACTGATGAGCCATCTCAACAACCCCAAAGAATATAAACTTTTAAGATTTGTTTACTTTTGTTATGTGTATGACTGTTTGCCTACATTTATGTATTGTGTACTGCATGTGCCTGACACTTGTAGAGGTCAGAAGACAGCACTGGATCGCCTGGACCTGGAGCTATGGGTAAGCCACCATTTAGATGCTAGAAACTGAACCCAAGTCTTCTGCAAGTGCTCTTATTTGCTAAGACACCTCTCCAGTCCATAAAGTACATACATAAAAAATAAAAACTTTAAAAATAAGCAGAAAATAATACCATAATACTTCACAGTAAGATCTGTGTCAAAACAGAACCCATGAGTACTAGCCTTGGCGGTTCCACGAGGGAAGGGGAAGCAGGGGGATCTGTATGAGTTCCAGCCAGGCCTACATCGTTAGACATTATCCCAGAGAAAAAACAACTAAGCAGCAAAGAAGAGGAAGAAAGGAAGGTCAGAAGGGAGGATCTGGGAAAGTAAACAGAGGGAAGGGGTGGGAAGTCTCAGGAAGAAGTCCAGAGTAGACAAAAGCCGGGGGTAAATGAGACCGGGAGGAAGGGTGGTATATGTCTTAAGAGCAGGAGTCAGTATGAACTCCTCTCAAAGGTTCAGGCCCTGTCACTGAGCAAGATGAAGAAGCAAGGGCTGGGTCTTAGGTTTAGTATCTTGGAACTGTCCTCTACACCAGGATACCCTCAAAGGCCAGACCACACCAAGCTCCAGCCTGTTGTAGAGGATGCCTACACACAGGGTCCAACATGTTCTTTTCCCCAAGGCTAGGAGAGCCAAAATATCCACCATGTTCTTGATCCTAAGGCTTTGAAGGCCAAAGTTAACACCAAGGCCTAAGGGGGCCACCTGAAAAAAAAAATCACTGGATGACAAAAGGACAATAAATCCTGCAGATTGGCCTTCAAAATCAATGCATGATGCAACCACCTCCTCCATTGACTCCCTCCTCCATCACCACCCTAGGACATATCCTTGATTACAGTCCCAAACCAGCTTCAACAACCTCCCTTCTCCTCCACTAATCACACATAAGCCTGCTAAAAAGTCAGAAGTCACTCTGCTCCAGGCCCTCAACACCTCTTGTACTCCCTCTGACCTATGTACAGTTCTGCATGACTCTTGCTCATAAGTCTGGTCTTTGTCCTTAGCGTCAAGGTAATTTCTAGGCTGCTAGGTTTTGTCTTAGGAGTTGTTTGGTGGGTGTTATCAACTAGGCTGCCAAAGTGAGACATGGTTCATGCAATATCTTTGGGAAATGGCTCTAAAGTATTGCTCCAGAGCCTACGATGGGGCTGGAAACTAGGAACTGCGTAGGAAACTGCGATGGAAACTGGAAACTCTGTCTTAGCCACAGAGTTGATATGATTAAGCCCTAGGGAAACAGGGCTTGGTGATGTATGTCTATAATCCCAGTACCCAGAAGACTGAGGCAGGACTGGTATGAATTTGAAGACAGTCTGACACTGCCTCAAAAACAAAACAAAAAACAGAAACAAGGCAGGCAGATTGGGGCATGCCTGTAATTCTAACAGGTAGAAGCAAGAGGATCAGTTCTTCATTCCTCATTCTTGGCTCCATTGTCTTAATCCAAAACTCTGGTCACCTAAGGCTCAATGAGTTTCCTGCTTCCTTGGTACCATTTACGGCTAAAGGCAGTCCTGGGAGAAGATAAAGGAAACCTTCCTACCCTCTCAGGCTCTGCCCATGTACCTCCCTTCCTTCAGCTAGATGTCTATCCTTTTACTAATAAAACAATTCTGTGACTCTTAGCATAGAGCCAACCTGAGGGAGCTCATAAAACAGTGGCTTGCAACTGCTGTTGGGAGAGCAGTCCCACAGCCCCTGCATAGCCTGTCAAACTGTGCACCCTGTGACTGCCTTAGGAAGCCCTTTGTGATCTGCCCACCCCTTGCTGATTAACTTTCATTTCATACTTATTTACTCCTGCCTCATGAGTACCAATCATGCTCTCATTCATATAACTAAAACCCTCTCCAGACCCACCCTATGTCTAACTTTCCACATTGTAACAGTGTAACCTATTGTTTGACTTTGTACTAGGCCACATTCATGAGTTAGCTCACCTCTCTTGTGGGGACTTCCTCCAAACTCAAGCTTGCTCTAAAAAACATCTTTCTAGTTTTGTTTTTTTCCTTATTTATGTGTGCTTTGCCTGCTCTTGCCTATGCATGTACACCACATGCAAGCCTGGTGCCTACAAAACCAGAAATGGGTGTTGATCCCAAGATAGGAGTAAATGATGGTTGTGAGCCACCACGTGGATGCTGGGAACTGAGCCTGAGTCCCCTACAAGCACAGCCAGTGCTCTTAACCTCTGAGCCATCTCTCCAGCCCCTTTTCCTTTTTGATCACTCATCCGTATCCATCATACAAAAACGTTTATTCCTTATTTCTTTTCCATTTCCACACAAGAGAGTACCCACCCTAAGGAAGCAAAGGGTTTGTCTTGTTGGCTTTTTCTGGAGTTGGGGTATGGTACTGGGGACCAGAGTCCTGTATATATGGTGAATGCCTCACCACAGGGTAAAGAAGGGAAGCCCCAGGCCCTCGCAGTGTGCAGTCTTCAACTTATCCCACCCCATTTTTCTTGAAGAGACAAACTGGTTAAAAAAAAAGAGAGAGAACTGAGCACCAGGGCTGGTGACCTGTGCTAAAAGAGATAAGGAAGAATTGGCGATTCCCAAGACTCTTGGGCCAGAGTGAGGAGGTGTGGCTGCTCCAGCTCAGACACCTTGCTATTAGCCCTGGAAGGGTCCTTCTCTAGCCTTGGTCTCTAAATGAATAATTTAAGAGCTGGAATAGCTGTATAGAACTGGCTGAGACTATGGGTGATGGGGGTTAGGGAGGAGCAAAAGAGAACAGAAGGAAGAGAAAGTCCTTCTATGATGAATGAAGGATGAAAGGAAAGACACAACCTCATGAGGCGGGGTGATCTTTTTATTTGAAGACAAAAACACCCAGTGTAAGAATTCACTGTAATTCAATGTAATCTGCAAAAGTTTAAAAACAAAAACAAGGAAAGACCAGAATTCAAAAGGCCTGGGGGAGAGGAAAGGAGGGTGGTAGGTTCTACATAGGCAGGATCAGGCCACAAAGGGGAACTGTAACAGCAAGCCCTCATGAGGATTCAGGCTCAGGTTTTCTAGGTTCAGGGAGGCGCCCTCCTCACGGCTTTGCCGGGCACTGTCAGTACTAAGCAAAAGGCTGGCACTGGCTGGCAGGCTTATGCCAGCAGGGAGGTTGGAGGCCCCTAGCCTGGCTGACAGCCCCACATCCTGGAAGTTGAGCACCACCAGGTAACGCTCATTCTGGTCCCAGTAGCGGATGTAGGAGAAGAGGCCAGATGAGGACAGTGCATGGAAGTCACCGTGCAACAGAGAGCGCTCCTTACCCCGAAGGTCACTCAGCCGCCGGAATTGGGTAAGGAGGGAGCCAGGGTCTTCATTCTGGCCCTGAAAATGATGGACAAACACAGAAGGAAAGAATGGGGGGGGTGTTTGTCTCTGGACATCTCTAAGGCACCTGCCCACCATGAGGGTCAGGCCTAAACTGCTTACCTTCACTGTCATATTGAGGCTTACAGGTCTTGCAGTGTTGGAGATGCTGGACTCATCCCACAGCATGAATGGGGCCTTCACAGGCTAACAAACAGAATGTGAGAGTTTTAGAAAAAGGGTAGGTCCACTCCCCTTCCTCCCATTCTCTATTTCCATTTCATCATTTTGTGTTGTTTCTGCTGGGATGCCTTTGTGGCAGCACCCCAGAACAGGACCTCATCATGGTACCCACTACTTTGTACCTTTTTGCTTGTCCAGACTCTCACTAACTTCAGTTCCCAGAGGGCTCAAAGTCTCTAGCCAATGGGTACAAAGTACCACTGTCCAACAAAGTAATGTTGGCTACCATTCTGAACATCTTACCAGATACCAGACATTACCTTTAAAAATAGGTCCTTGGGGTCTGGGAAGATGGCTCAGTGGGTAAAAGCACCATGTAAGCTGGCAACCTGAGTTTGACCCCCAGATCCCATATAAAGGCTAAAGGCAAGAACTTACTCCACAAAACTGTACTCTGATCTCTGTGTATGTACCTACCCCCCGCCCAACACCATGCACACGTATTCCCAGCTGAGTTCCATTCCAGAATGGGCTACATGGTGTCTGAAGCCAGCCCAGGCTATACAATGAGTCTGACAACAAGAAAACCCTGTTTAAAAGATACAAACTTGCCATATAGCTCACAAGATGACTGACAGAGTTCCACCTCAAGGTTGTTGTCACTCACAGATGCCACAATGCGATAAACACTATTTCCCACACTGTGCTGGGCAGAAGACAAGTGGTACCTGTCCAGGAAGGAGAGCTGCCTGAAGGCCAAGCTCATCTCCATAGCTGAAAACAGGAGTCCCTGGCAGAGTGAATAGCAGCAGCTGGTAGAGTCGGAGAAGCCGAGCTGGTATAAAGGCTGTCAGGAGTCCTGCCTGTGACACCTGGAGGAAGTCATACCTTTGAGCATGTCCACCCTACATCTATCACCTTCCACCTTCCCCTAACCCATCAGCAGGGTGCTTACACTCCAG